ATTTGCAGCCCTCCCTAAGCAGTTTACAGAGCCAGCATATTGTCCCCAACAATTTGGGTCCTCATTTTACCAACCTCAGAAGAATGGAAGGCTGACTCAACCTTGAGCCCGTCAGGATTGAACTGCTGGCAATCGGCAGAGATAGCCTGCAGTACTGCATTCTAACCACTGTTCCACCATGGCTCTATTTATTGGCATATCTGAAATAATCTATTCCAATATTTTGTTACACATTTTTCGTTCATCATTTGTGTTACACAATAGCTACACAGAAAACTCACTGAGAAATGTGGATTCCGGTCTTCATCCAAAAACTTGCTGTCCTCCATTTTATAATGCTCAAAAGAAGATGCAGGCAGAGACTTTCCAACTTTGTCACCATTCTGTGTTATCTTTCCAAGACTGAATGTGCTTAGCAGCATATTATCTTCTGCTTTTCGCATAGACTTTGAAACAGAACACAAGGAGCCTTGAGACAAAAGAGAAAAAACCAATAAGAATACATGGGATGAGATACACATTCTCCAACGTTTAGATGTTTGCATGGAGGTGAACAAACTTTAAATATTACTTAAGTCAGGCTAATTTGAAACTAGCATAAGGACAGGAAAAAGGGTGTTATATAGCTTGCGGAATGAATAGATATCACTTCAATGACTTACACGGTTTTCAAAGAACGATGAGTAAAGAGGACTGACCTTTTGTATATCATTACATGTCTTTTGTTCCAAACCATAGGTGATGAGCTGCTTTTCAATACGTTCATTATATAATTTGGATTATTTTATCAAGTACCACAGGATAATTTTCTTCTGAATTCTAATTTAATCTTTAAATTCCACTTCACACAGCCTCAGGAAAGAATTAATTTGTGCAGGGGTGGAAAAAGAAAGGCAGACAAACTTCATTATTTGTGCTTTAAAAACTAAGGCTTCTTGAAAAGTAAGAAAAACAGTCTCTGCGAGGAATAGTCTTAAGCAATTATATCTTATCTTAAAGAGAATTCAAACCTCTTCCTACTTATCCATACAAACAGTTTCATAAGTATGCATAAAATAAATGGTCATGGATATAATTTTAAATACACCACACTTGTGCTTTAATTTTGAAGTAGATGCAGGGCTGAGATGCTATGGGTTCGCCTGGATTTGGGAGAACCAATAGCCAACGTTATAGCCGGTTCAGAAAATCTCCAAATCCCACCCCTGACTGGCCTCACCCACCACACCCTGCCCCTGCCACCCCACCGTGCCCCTCCCAGGAGTCTCCACGTGACCCATTTTGGATGTGAGGTAAGTACAGGGCCCGCCTGGAGCCCGGGGGAGGCAGTTTTCGCCCTCCCAAAGGCTCGAGGAAACCATCTGGAGTCTGGGGAAGGCAAAAATACCTCCCCCCGCGCCATGGTGCAGGAGGCTGACTAGGCCATGCCCACCCAACAACCGAGCAGAGAACCCATTGCTGAAATTTTTGAAGCCCACCTCTGAGTAGATGCCATGATTC